CAGAAAGGTTCATCCTCAAGAATATTGGCGAACGCACCAAGAAGCCTGCTACTTTAACCACAGAAAAGAAAGATGTATTCATAAGACTGCCTTTCTTAGGAGATGCAACAAGCGAGCTGGTAAGACGACCCCTTAACACTGCGATCACAAACGCTTTCCCGCGGCGAACTTACGCGTGTTCTTCACGAACTCTCCCCTCGTACGATTGGGAGGCAAAGACCAACTCCCGTTGAAGGTCACATCCATGTGCATCTACTCCTTCACTTACTCCTGTGGAGTACGATACATTGACCGAACAACAAGGCACCTGGAAAAGAGAGTACGTGAACACGTATCGACCTGGTTAGGCAAAGGTCAAACTAAATTGATCTCGAGATCTATTCTCGCAGATCATGTCGATATGAATAATCGAGTCGATACTAATAAAGCCTTTTAGGTGTGCTACTGGACACCAGCTAACTTTTCCAAGGGCCTATGCCAAAGGGTGCTTGCAATAGCCGAAGCAGTGGCTATACGGCTAGCGAATCTAGTGCTGTGTTGCAAAAGACACTGTCACGAGCTCTTGCACTTCCGTGGCCGACACCGACGCCAGGTGGCGATCGCATTTCGTCGCCATCCACTAGTGTCAGTCGCTCACCTAACACGCCGATCTCGCCTACTTGCGCAGACTGACGGGCCACAGTGGCCAATCGGCGCCCAAGTCAGACAGTTATTAATTTTGTTACACGGTCAAACTTTAATTGTTTAGTACAACTTTCATTATCCTTGTAAACGTTCGGCCTGACGAGGAGTTGCTGAAAACATATGCTTGCCAGAAACTGATTTTATTCAAATTAACCATGGTAATATTTACAGAACAAAGATTAGAGAGACGTGAATGGTCAAGATCAGACCATCACACCGAATAGGAGGCTCGAGCCTGCGACTTGCAAGTCAAAGGCCAGTAGAGAAAATATCTTCGAGGATGAGAGAGCTGAAGCGGCCCATCCCGGTTTGGTGGCACCATATATTTGAACCTGCGATCTTATTGAGTCGAACGCTGTACCGCTCAGCCACAGACCCGAGAAGGGATTCCTTTCTCTTAATATAAAACTCGAACACATATGTTCCCTAATCAAGGCACACCTCAAGGCACACCAGGTCAAGTATATACTTGAGGTCTAGTTTTTACTTGACCCCCTGGGGGAATAGACCCTTAGACCCTTTGGTACGACCTAGGAACAGTAGATTCTTTGACCTAGGACATTAGCATCAGGGACCTGAGGTGCCTTGAGGTTCTTTCTAGAGTGACCACAGTCAGTCCCTTAACAACTTAAGACATATGATGGAAACCCAAGCAGAAATTTTATCAACGCTTTCAAGAAATATTTTCACTGTCCAAATTTCCCAATAACCCTGACAGAAAAACACTAGCGCCGCGCGAAGTCGCCTAGCGCCGTCGCGCCATTCTGTCCCTGCGTTGCGCGCACGCATAGATGTGCGCCCAGGCGACATGCGAGAAGCGTTCCTAGTCGGCGTCACCCC